AGGGCTAGGGTTTCGATAACAGAGAAAAGAGGGCTCCGTCATCCTCCAGAAGCTAAAGACGATGTCTATGGCGGCGAAGGAAGAAGCACCGTCGTTTTTTTCAAAATTGCCAAACGACATCGTTTTAAACTGTCTCGCGTGTCGAACAAGTTACGATCTTTAGTACGTTCCTCTGAGCTTCGCAAGACGAGATCTCTCATGGGAAAGGATTGCTTCTACGTCTGCTTTGAAGATTATCATAACAATACCTATCACTGGTTTAGTCTCACTGAGGACCGTCGTTTGGTCTCGTTCCCGTTCCCGTCTCCGCCTAAGCCTCGCTTTGCTGCTCTCATGGTTGGTCACGAGATCTACTTCATTGGTGGTCATGTCGATTAACCGAGGCGCATGTGGATCCTCGATTCTCGGTCTGGAGAATGGCGTCGGGGTCCACGTTCGCTTGTGGCCACCAGTTCCGCAGCCGTGGGACTAGTTGACGACAAGATTTACATTTTTGGACAAGGGAGCAAGAATAAGATCCAAGCGCAAATGTTTGACCTAAAGAAGCAAACTTGGCAAATATCACCAAATCCAAGTATTGAAGTGGACTCCGTATTTATATCCTTGGTAACCCCGTCACTAGACAGAAAAATCTTGATAAAGTAGTCATGCATTATAATAAAAAATACACTGTTAGACCTTTGTGTGTGGTAGATAATGTGCTCTACACCTATCATATATAATCATAATGGGTTAAGGTGGTATAACTATAAAGAGAAGGCATGGAGAACTATTCATGGTTTGAAGCTCGAGAAGTATTTAAGCTTAGATGTTGTTGCTATGGCTGATTACAATGGAAAGTTGGCGTTTTTGTGGCATGAAAGGGACAAAATGGAGATTTGGTGTTCAATGATAACCTTGTTTTCGAGTAAAGAAGCGATTCTGGGGCAGGTCGAGTGGTCTAGTTGCCTACTTTCCGACGTCCCTAGTAACTACTACTTTGAGCATTATTTTGGTTCGGATTAAAAGGTATGTACGGAATGGTATCTTAATAATGGTGATACCGTGATTGTTGGTTTTAATACATTGTGAACAGCGATATGGCTTGTTCGAAATTTGAAGATCGTTTCATTAAGCTCTGGCTCTTCCAATCTTTTTGTGCTATAATATTGCTGCTCTTGTCTTCACAAATCACAACTCTAGAAATTTACATATGTTTTGTTTCGAATGATGGAATTCATGATGGAGTTTGAATTAGTTTTCAATTTTCATAACTATAAAGACCAGATCATCTATGTAAAGCTGAAGCTCAAACATTTTAAGATCATCTTTTATATATAAAGGTATGATTATCGAGAGAATGGCCATTTTAAATATGAACTCTACAGATTGAGCCAATTTAATTACAAACTTGCTAATGATCCATATAAATTACGAACTTTAAGTCAATTGAGCCATTTGAGTTATGAATTTAGTCAACATTATTAACCGTTTAAGAGACGTTAATCTCCGTTGATTGACTAAACGCCACCGTTTTAGAAACAGATTAACAAGAACAAAAATCCCCAAATCGTGACCAAATCCCTAGTTTCTCATCTTCGATATCAC